CCCCGCGAAGGCGCCCGCGACAAGACTTACGCGTCCGGGCGGTTCGGGTCCGGTGGAAGGAGACCGAGGCGCGCTGGAGGGCGCCGTGTCCGGTTTGGCGCCACGCGAGGAAGGGAGTTTTGGGGCAGCTCTTGTACGTGTTCGCGATGATGATGGTCGTGGACCGTCTGCTGGCGCGGCAGACTCGGAGCCCTTCGTTGGTACCTATGGATAGGCTCGAGCATCTCAGGACAAGAAAATTTCTCGACTTCGAACGACTGCACGCTGCCCGAGAAACTGCGTCGCGACACCGTCGGCGCCGGGGCTGTGCAGGCTCTGGGATCGTAGCCACATATCGAAGCCGCTGCTTGTTGTTGAAGCGCCGTGTAATTCGCCGCCAATAGAATGCTTGAGTTCCTTCCTATTTCCAATAATTTCCAGGACCGCGCCGTCCGGGCTCGATAGGGGCCCCATATTTATCTTCTATTTCCCGGGCATTCGCCGGTATGCGTGGTTGGCCCTGGCTAATTTCCCCCGATGTGGTCTGGGCTAAATTAAGGAAGGGAAGGGAAACTAGCAGGATGCGCAGTAGGAGCGCAGTGGGGTAAGGTGCACTGCAACATCAAGGTGCAGTTCACCGAAGATGAAGGCTCTCTATCTCTCTAGACGGAAATATATTGTACTGCGGTAACTGCAAATAATTTAATTCTAGCTGTCAATCCCCCAGAGGCTAGCATGGCTTCCCGGGATCTGACAGTGGAATTCTTGGAGCTTAGGACGAGTAACAACACTTTCCTTCAACTAGATCGATGGACAAAGGATGTGGATCGCTTGCTTACATCGAGTCATCACGACCCGTGCAATTTCGCCGCTGAAGAAGATGGCGCAATACCGGTAGGAGCAGCTCAGCCGTGGATCGACTGTGCAAACGCCGTGGAGTTACACTGTAATGCAATCAAATCTAAATTGCGGTGCATGACATCACTTCACCGGCAGCGTCTTCTAGTAACATTTGATACGTCACAAGAGGAGACTGTGGATCAGGATCTACGAGAAATAACTGTGATAATACAAGAAAGTTTGTGTGCTGCGGAAGCGATGCTATCAGCGCCTCGAAGTGAATATTGGTGCGACATTCCAGGCGAGTCAGATGCCTCGCGATCCTCAAGGCTGAATGCGCGGAAGTCCCTCGCTAAGCGGCTCCAGGACTTAGGATGTACGTATCGTACCATGCAAAAAGAATTTGCAAGCCACACTGCCCGGCAGAACGTTTATAGAACAAATGCAAAGCGCCCAGGCAGCGAAGATATCGAGGCTAAGAGTACGGAAATAAATCAGCTCAAACCTAAACAACCGACTTCATCCAGCGTCCTGGGGTGATCAACCTTCGGCAAGGGCCGTCCAAAATTTTACGTCATGGTTCAAATATCAGGTGGCGAGATATTGAGGATGAGCTCGCATTTCTCACCGAGGGCAGAGAACATTGTGCACTCAGACATCTTCAAGAACACCGCCCGGGTGAATGTGTCATGTCTATAGAAGAAATTACACAGCTCGAGCAGAGCGCCGCTTTTGCCAGGGAGCGTGACGAGAAAATGAAGACTATATCAAAATCTATCACAGAAGTCGCTCAAATATTCAAGGAGCTCGCTGTCCTTGTGATCGATCAAGGTACAGTCCTCGACCGGTGCGCGAATATTCTGTGTAGTGTCCAAATGTGAAGAGTCCTAGGATTGACTACAACATGGAGCACACCTCTGAGCGGTTACAGACCGCGACAACGCAGCTCGTGGTGGCAAATAGGTCACAGTCTAATGCAAGGCCACTGAAGTACTCGATCATTCTTCTTCTCGTCATTGTCGTTCTTTTGATACTCCTGATCCAAAAGATCACATAGTACTTAGAGATCACACTCACTCAGATCGCGCTTGATCTTGCGTTACCTAGGCCACTCAGCAACTTGTCGACTAAATTGCATCAACCGCGCATTCTTCCTCTATTTTGTAGCGGTGAGCGCGCCCCCTAACAAGGTTGTCTCCATTTTCTTGCTGCTCACACACTTGTCGCGTCGCGCACACACCAGGAATAGCCACCTCGAATACTGTCTTGGCTGGAGCCGCAGCACATGCCAAAGTCGTTTTCGCGACTTATCAAGACGATTTCCGTATGCAGAAATAGACGGATATACGGGCCGCAAGTGGATAGAAACTTCACCAAGCGGTGATTTGGTGCATCGCAGTACGCAAGTTCCATGCATGATACAAAACTGAATTTTTGTTTTTTTCACGAAACGAGCTACCTCCGGGGTGCCACCTCCGAGGTATCCTTAGTAATATTTCGTGAGATTGATGCGATCAGTTACCCGAGTTCGTCTATGAATATACGCGCAAATCCGTTGGACACAAGTGCATTCGCACCTCAGATCCATTCCGAATGTTCTTGGAGCTAAGAATCATGTGGACATAGCCAGTACTACGCCATTACCGATGATTGGGGCTTTGCCCCTGATGAGGCTGCTTTCGGTCGGCCATGTTACTTCCAGCAGAATGGCCTTCTTTGCAAGGAATGGATGGGAGAGTGTGATTCATGGGCACGTTCCCGGGTGACGGCAGTGCTGCGACAGTTGTACGGCCGGCTAGGCCAGACCACATCGAGCGAAATCAGCCAGCACAAAATGTTTCTTCAACTGGACCGTGATTGCGCTGTTCTATCAGAATGCGAGATTCTTGAGAATCAAGGTGCGCCTGGCGATCTTACCTGGGCAGGGGTAAACTTAGTTACCCATCTTGTGCCCCTTTGTCTCGGGGCGAAGCTGGCGATTTTTAGGGCCTCCTGGACGCGGGGGTGTTGGCGTTGGCGAGTACTGGACTCCCCGGAGCCCCTAGGTTTCCTTAAGTGCCCTACGTGCGCCCACTTCCGTCCGCGGTGGCCATTGGGTCTGCGTTGGGTGAAAGGCGGTGGGGTATGGTCGCTGGGTATGGTTGACGCCACGCTCGGCCAAATTGGTGATATCTGCTTCGTTTTGGGGGCCATCACGGACCGCGTCTGCGAATCCAACGACGACTAGCATACGAGCGGGTGAGGTGGGTGTTAGTTAGGGACATGTCCCCAGGCCGAACTTCCAAATCCGCGCTGCTCAGGACCGTCTTCGGGCACCATGTGCATAATATGTAGCACGAAGTATCGCACCAGCACCGGACCGGGGCGTGCCCCTACGGCTTGTATTGTGCCCACAAAACCCGTGCGCAAGATGTTCGGCAGCCAATCAAATAAAATTGCTGCAGTCAGCGCTCTTGTGTCGCAGGCGACGTCCCCAGCGCTAAACTGAGACACGGGTGCACGAATTTCAACTCCCTCGAAAGAGCCGAAGTGCCATCGGGAATTCAATGCACCCGAGCCGACGATGGCGTGTGTGCGTGCGGGGGTTACAGCAGGTTACATGCCAGTTCGGCGGATATCGCCTTAGAGATAGGCATCGCAGGCGAAATTGGTGAATTCTAACCTCAATTGAGAGCGCTTGGGGTACATTGGTGGTAATTTTGATGCATCAGGGCTGCCGTACAGGGAACATGCCAAGTATTTCCCCCCGACAGGACCCAGAGCGATTCATTTCAAAATTTTGTTTGCCTCTGGCTAGTGTGATGGTTATGTCTCGCTGTGGTCATAGAATCCAGCTTAATGCTAGTGATACAGAAAGGCAATCATGCATCAGGAGTCCTTTGTGCGAAATAAAGATATATGGTCGTTTCACTGACAATACTACCGGTGGTGCAAGTCAAAGGGGTCCAATAGAGAAGATCCCATCTCACTTTCTTGCATCGGATTGGCAGCTGAATGACCTCGCTGGCGCGTATTCACAAGGGCACGGAGGCACGAAATATAGTCTGTGTGGCAGTTGCCATCATCACATGGGACAGGAACTTCAGATTTGTCGCAACTCCCATCAAAAGTCCTAGGCTTGACGCAGGAAGAGACTTGGCCGAAGCCATACGGGTTATGGGCTGATTCACCGCACATACCGAAGTCAGAGACAGTGCGCTTGTAGTTCATTAGGACAGAGAGCACGCGATAACTCTCTCTGACGTAGGCGTCGTAGACCCTTCCACGTGTATCGTAATCGATATACTCGACGGACCCCGCAGCTAGGGCAATATTCCACGGGGCCATATCCTCGTACAGAGGTAATTTGACAAAGTCCCTGTAGATGGCACTTGTCTGAGCCTTGACAAGGCCAAGGCGGAGAGCACAGATAAGGGTGAACGAGTGGATAACGCCGTAGGGTATGTAGCCAGCATCATGATCGCGTATTAGACGGACATGCACAACGCGACCCTCAGAGACATGGTGGCCAACGGGAAGGGTCAAGCGTGATTCACCCTTTGAACTGTTCCAGGCAATCGCACCACCCCCGCTCGCCGGGTCACGCCAAGATCCGGGGATGAGTAAGAGGCCCGTTTTAGGGACTGCGAGAGATGTATTCACGTCAACGTGCATGGTGTAGGTACGTTTGTGGCCATCCTTTGCCCAATCGAAGTGGTGGTGGACCTTTCGTGTCATCTTGACTATATCGAGTCTAACAAGAGGGAATGAGAACGGCCGACCGGGAAGCGAGTAGGCCTCTCGGATAGAAACTCGCGTCTCACCATCTAGCGGGATAATTGCATAGTGTTCGATCGTCTCTTGAAGCAATCGCATAAAGGCGGGCACTGGGTGTTCATTGATTGAAAACGTAGGCGTGATCCTCTGCGCATCGACAAGGGATGTCTCGGGGAAGAATGCAAGCATCGCAAGGGATATGTGCTTGACTGATGGGAACGGCAACCACGTCGTCAGAGAAGACGAAATATAACGGCCGAGTGCCTTCTTAAAATCGAGGTGTGAAGAGCCATCTTTCAATTCGCCATAATCTCCCGCGAGACCATCTAGCAAGCTAGGTGACTGAAGCAATGCAAAACGTGCAAGCTCAGGTGATTCGTAAAACTTCTTAGCGAGAGCGTCGTCCAATGGCTCACCTGCACAGCAGAGAACATTTTGCAGCTTGCGGCCAGATGCTATATTGTATAGTGCATCACCAAATAGTGATGCTACTCCAACAATGCTCAACACAGTTGCATTCGGATACTTCGAAGCCGCGTGAAGTGCCACCGAATAGTCGCGGCAGCCAAATTCCAGGAGAGAGAAACGGCCACCGCGGTGCTCTGCGGGCGACGCATGCATTTCACGCTCAAGTTCGTCCCAGACTTCAACGCCGCGCGGAGAATCCCAGGGTTCAGTAGAAATGATTGGCCAGAGTAAAGCATTAATTCCCTCATTTACCATGAGAGCTGGTACACCTTCGATTACCGTGAGCAAGAGACGGTCTGTTGATAAGAGGTCAGGTGCCTCTGAAAGAATCCCAGAATCAAGATGATCCAATGGTAGCCGAAGGTGTGCACGGAGTAGCGCGGCTTTTTCAAGGTGCATTAGGTCGAATGCTATAGCGGCAGCCACTGATATGCCATTTGGGCGTGACACACCCGAACGAGCCTCAAATTCGATGCGAAAGACAAGAGGCACCTCGGCAGGCGCAAGCAAAACTCGCGGCTGTGAAATCATGGTCCCACCAACCGAGAGCTCAATATGCGATGTCCGCCGCGTGACATGCTGAAGAGCGGCGCGAAGTAAGGTGAGCTCATCACCAGCATACGCCAAATCTAAGGCCGCCGCACAGGCGGGTGCCAATTCGTGAAGTCCGGCTACGAATGCATCGAGGCGAGGCAACTCAACCAGCGCAACTCGCTGACCTATGTCAATTGCAGCACCAAGTCTCACCTCGAGAGCAACAGTATCACAGACGTCATCTTTGGTCGCTGCGAGCCAACGAACTATCATCGAAGCCCCAATAGCAACGACCACTGGCCCCCCGGGGCCAGCCAAGGTCCGCAGCAGCGAAATTTTGGTGGTTCCGCTTCCAACAATGACACGTCGCGAGGCGAGAATCTTGCTGAGATCTATTACTGCTGACAGACGATCCATCGAATCCCCTCGCCAGTTTATGACGGTTGCTGCTGGTGCAAAGCGAGCAGCCTTAATTGCTACCATCCCCAGGTCACTGCCAATTAGAACAACACCCATGCGCATCGAGCGCAGCGGATCAAGTGCGGTCTTCAAACTCGGCCACCAAGTTCGAAGCGCAGTCATCTCCTCCGATGCCAGCTTCGCGAACAGCACACTAGGCAGGCCCTGGTGTAACTGCAATGAAATGTACTTGTCATCTCTCGTGAATGAAGGAAATAAAGGCGCTGAAGCAAGGGCTTTGACGCCAATCGTGTTGAAGGAGTGATTGAGGTCGAAACGGGCATACCCAAGGGATGCGCGAGTTCGCCGCGCATCCAGGCTGCAGCTTAGGAAAGGCTCGATGGCTCCTGCGTTGAACACTAACGGCTCCCTCCTATCATCACCGCTAGCTGCAAACGCACACGTGAGAGCTGCTCCTGTGCGCAACGCATTCATGCCGCGTTGCTCCAACGCATGCCCAAATGTGATCATTGCATCATGTGGCATCACTCCAAGCGTGCGAATTGCCTCGAGGGCCAGTGCTCGGTGTCTCAAAGCATGTTCACCAACGCGCATGACGTGCAAAAGACCTGGCATAGACGGTGGTGTGTCTATCCTGAAGATCGATCTGTGTGCCACAGTGGCTAAAGCGGCATTTATCAGACCCTTAGATCTTCCGAAACTTCTCCAGAAAGCGCCCACATCTTGGTCAGCAGGTAGGAGCGCTGCGTCGCACCAGAGTAGTGCGCGCCCAAGAAGCCCTTCGGCGATACTGGGCAGGGTGAGACTCGCAAGACTGCCTAATGCCCCCTCGGTTAGGAGCAGCCAATCGCAGCCTCCTCGGTGGAACGCATCTAATGACGACTCCTTGGTCGCAGCTTGCCACGCAGCAGGTAGTGACATAATCTCGTCATCATCGCTAAAAGCAGGCCCTTCTGCATCGCCACGGGCCAGGAGTAGATTTGGCGGTATCGCTTGCAATTTCAGCACAGCAGTTACTGCGCTATCGGAATGACTGTCGCACGCATGCGCTGCAATGACAGTCATTTCTGGTGCCGTGCGTGCCAGCAACAAGGGCAGTGAGAATGCCTCAGACTGCCCAATACATCCCAGCCACACGGCCGTTGCTGTCGTGTTTATCATTGCTCTAACACTCGACATCCAAGTTGGCGAAGTCGAATATATCTCGCCTGCGATCCCTGCACTTGTCCCATATCGCAATGCGTTCTCGAAGGATTCCAGCACTGTCGAGCCAGGCCTATCGAATACGGACGATCCGACATAATCATCTCGCTGAACACTGGCCTGAACGCCACCGTAACTTCTGCCTCTTCCTTCTGGTCGAATGTTGCAACTAGCTCTACCTTTGTTATGTTTAAGATTTTATCCAATGGTGGCACCACGGCAAACCCAAGCTGCCGAGCAGAGAATGTAGTACTAGAAGAGTTCGTTGTGCTACTTGAAGCCGGTGCCAGATCTACCAGTCCTGCCGTTGGGACCTTGGCGGTTTCTAGTGATAGACTGCGCTGCAACCCCTTCGCTTCGGTGAAAGTCGGCTGCCCGACAGAAAGGGGTGAAAATTGTTCGAGCTCTTCATTAAATCGTTCCCGCAACTTATCCAACTCACGATCGCTTGCTGCTTTCTGGTGATCAAGGAATGCTTCAGATTCATTTTCACCGGACCTTGTCAGTTTGATGCCCGAACTTCTGCTCTTTGAATACTCTGCATCTTCATGGCCCGCGTCAGACGACTTTGGGGAACTAGTCTCACGCAACGAAATCAAGCTCCTCCGAATGTCGTCGGGAGTTCCGCGATCGAGCAACACGCGATGCTGATACATCAAGTGAGTGTTGGACGCCACAAAAATAACGCCCATCGTCATGATCGCAACCAAGCGGCATCGTGGGTATCCGCTCTGGCTGAACCACATAACAAATCATCAACTGCTATCCCGGGGGTGCTGTCAGGAGCTTAAGACATGAGGTACATTACGGCAGTACAACGAGTTAGTGAGTTTAGACCACCTATCATCATCCAGGTACGTCGCGTCGTCCGTACACTGCGGCTCGCGGGAGATTTGCCCACCTCTAGTCCGCCATGCCCTTCGATCACCTTCCTTCTCGCCGTGCCGGGGGGAGGGCGCTCCTTCCCTCCCCCGGACCCCCTCCCGGGAGCTCCCCCCCCCCTTGAAGAACGATGTTCTGTACAAAAGCCTCAAGCACATCAACTGCGCTCTTTGATTTAATCGGGACTGCTGTCAGATGATGGCTAAACGCGTCCATCATTGTCAGCACGTAACAATACTGGTGCTCTGTAGTGCGTCGCAGTGGCCCCACCAAGTCTATGGAAAGTAAACTCCCACTATGCTGGTGTAAGGTTTGCTGCAGTTTGCCCGCTTTTTTCGGCACCCAGCTTTTAGCCTTACGGCACCATAGACAGTGTCGGACGTACCGTCCCACATCAGCGTCCATGTTTGGCCAATATAATCTCTGTTTCAAATCCTGAAGGGTACTGTCTCGGCCTGCATGTTGGTTAAAGTCCGAATCATGGTGGATGCGGATTTCCTCTCTTCGTAGCGTGACTGGCACGTACTTGAGTTCCTTTTTCCCATCCTCACGCCGCCACAATATACCGTCATCTATCAACCACTGCTCCTGCGCTTTCGCCTTCCGGCGGAAGCACACTGCACTGCCAACCTCAAGCTAAGTCAGATAAGATACCCCAGTCTAGTCTCCCGCCACACCCTACGGAGAGGATCGTGCGGAAAATACGCTTTTCCCGGAACGACGTCGTAACGGCGAACGCGGCGGGCGGTTTCGCGTCTCAGCGCGGGGGGGGGCGGTGTAAGCCCTGAGTCAGTATACGAGTGCAGAGCTCCACTACTCATCATGATGTTATTGTACGCGCGAGCACCAAACGGCCCGAAAGGGCGCGAACGTTAACCTTCGGACAAAAGCTACGCCCTTCGGCCAGAAGATCTGGCCTGGCGCCTGCGGCGCGGGCTTCGCAAAAACCAGCCCCCCGGGGGTCGAGCCGGGCTGATCTTCGATCACAGACGGCCTCCAACGGACCAAGGGGCTGAAATAAAACTGCTGGCTGTGGTGGTCCTCTCCCAGCTCGCCGCTTCCCCGGGGACCGGGGTGGCGCGGCTTAAATTTTTCTGAATGCATATGGTTAATAGACGGAGAGTCTTCCTGGACCTAGTACGGCAGCTGAGGTGGCGTGAGGATAACAGAGACGCCGGTGTACCGCCTTGGCGTAACCTCGATAGTTCACCCTCGGACGGCAGGGCGGCCCCATCAGGCTGCTTCCCCGTCCCGGAGTTTACTATCTCGTTAATAACCCCTGACGGGAAAATGGCAGTGCCCCTGGCCTAGACTGAAAATAGAAGAGAGAGGTGGGGCTGCTAGGCAGCCCTGATTCCCAACAGGAGAGGGTTACGTGGAATAGAAAGAGAGAAAGAGAGGGAAATTGGGAAAAGGAAGGAAGAGCCCCATACTAAGGTGGGGACTTCGGGGAACTGAAGTCCAGGTATATGAGGATAGGAACCTGCAAGGGGAGATAAGGGCAGTAGGGCAGATACAGGAGAATCTTCCTCCTGAGGTCCGCGTGAGCCGCGTCACGACGCATTCCCAGGCCAGGGACGACGCAGCCGTCGCGACAGACTGCCAGCGGAGAGGCGCTG